CTTGGATGTGCGGCTGGTGTAATATATAATGGCTCGGAATTGTTAATCGGAGTTCCAATTCCAGTTGGGCTCGTTATATTCACTTAGGCGCAAATACCCCTGGGAAAGGTATGTGTCCATTTCTTCTCCCCCAGCTATGGGTTAATTAGTAAGGCTTGTATCAGTAAATCATTATTATCTCGAAAAATAATTCTTAGCTTGTAAAAATATTTTCTGGCTTTAAATAAGCTGCAAAGGGTTGATAAACCGTAAAAAACGAATGAACCAACTAAAAACTTTAACGGTTCAGTTTTTTTTTTGTTTGTTTGTTTTTTTTTCGCTTTACCATCTGAGGTAATTATGACTTTTTTCTTCTTCTTTTTTTCTCTCCTTGATATTTGTTTTGAAATGTCTGTTCTAATGGAAATGTTTTTTATTCATAAGCAAATGTTCAAGTATTTGCGGACAAGATGCCCATCTGATGCAATCCGGACATTGGTTTGTCTTGTAAAACAGAGACATAGGCTCCGACATCAAAGCAATAAAAGCAGCTACGTCGCAAAGAGTCGCTAAGATTTTATTTCTTTTTTTAATAAATTCACTCAAATTAAAACGATAATGCCACCAACACGCATGTGGTCTACAGGTAGTGAAAGAAAATTAGAAGACTTTATAAGGAACCGGAAACCCAATACCTAAATAGAAAAAGGGATAACCCTCTACTCCTGTTCAAAGGACCAGGGATGAGTGTGAACTGGTTTTTAGACGAACCTATCTGCTCCTACTGAGGAAAATAAATAAACAGTAAATAAAATTTCAGAGATCAAACAGAGACGTTAGAAGTAGAATTTAGAAGGAACCGGAAACCCGATTCGGAACAGGAAACAAGGGATAAACCTCTACTCCTGTTCAAAAGACTGGGGAGGTATGTTAACCGGACCATAGTTGAACATATCTTCTCCTATTAGAGAGGAAAAAATATATATAAATAAATAGTAAAGTTTCAGAGTTTAGGTGGAGATGTTGGAAGTGTAGAGGTGAAGTAGAAGGAACCGGAAATCCAATCCTAAACAGAAAACAAGGAATAACCTTCTAATTATGTTCAAAAACCTGGGTGGAGTGTGAACCAGACGATAGGCAAACCTATCTACTTCCACTGATAAAAATAAATAAATCATACTTATAAAACCCAGGTTGTGTGTGTGTCTGTACGTTTATATATTGGATCGGTTTTCCTACATTTTTCAACTGATTTCAACAAAACTTCACAGGACTGCTTAAAATTACCTTGCGGTGGTTCTGACAGCGCCAAAAATTGGAAAAACACAATTGTTTTAGCACGAAATCAATTTGAAAACACGATTAAAAGACATCGCTGTCGCGAGAATGAAAGGGTGACAACTCATATCGAGTTATACTTATTATAAAACCCAGGTTGTTTGTTTGTTTGTGTGTGTGTGTGTGTGTGTGTGTGTGTGTGTGTGTGTGTGTGTGTGTGTGTGTGTGTTCGTTTATATATGGGATCGGATTTCCTACATTTTTCAACCGATTTCAACAAAACTTCACTTTTCTTTGGCAGGTAGTGTTTCTTATTGTCTTGCACACTTTTTTCTTTATTTTTACATTCAGAATGCTTTAAAAATTCCATTTGCAAGACAATTGTTTATAATAAAATTCTATTCAATCGGTAGACTCATAACGATTGAAAACAATGTTTTTGTTTGAGTTTTGGTTTGACCAATTCGTAAAAAAAAAATAACTAATTAAGACATGCATGTCCGTCAACCTTAAACAATAATCTTTGTGAATTTTATTTTTCAGTCTTTATGATGGTCGATACTTGATCTATCTCTTACTGTTACATCCCCGGGCAACGCCGGGCTCTCCTGCTAGTAGTAAATAAAATTTCAGGGATCAGACAGAGACTTTAGAAGTATAGAGTTGAAGTAGAATTTGGAAGGAACCGGAAACCCGATCGTAAACAGGAAACAGAGCATAAACCTCAACTACTGTTCAAAAGACTGTGGAGGTGTGTGAACCTGATGATAAGGGAACCTATCTACTCCTACTGGAGAGAAAATATATAAATAATTAGTAAAAGTTTCAGATTTTAGGCGGAGATATTAAAAGTATAGAAGTGAAGTAGACTTTAGAAGCAACTGGAAACCCAATCCTAAACCGAAAACAAGGAATAAACTTTTGTTCAAAAGACCAGGGAGGAGTGTGAATAGGATGCTGTAGAGGATCGTGTCGGTGATGTTGAGTAGAAATAGAAATAGAAGAACACACGTGGGTTAAGATTTTCCTGCCAGCCGGTCCAACGACATGAGAAAGTTGGACATTAATTAAGTCCAAAGAAGACAAGGAAAAACAAACACAAGACTGATAAATATATGTAAACAAATATATGTATTAATAACAAGAAAGGTTACAAGTTACATGGACAGTTACATGGACAGAGTGTGTGTGGTGAATATTATATGTATGTGTTGTGTTGTGGTGAGTGTTCGTACGTACGTGTATTGTTCTTAGCGTGTTCCCAGCATTTGGGAAACGCTGTATCTGTGAGAGCTCACATCTGCGAGGTGGTATAAGGCTCAAGCCTGAGGAAAAGAGATTTACCTCAAGATGGCGGCCCAAAGGCCTGAGGGAAAAAGAGGAAGAGGCGAAGGGTCAGCGAGTATTTATAGCCAGGGGAGAGAGAGACCCCCTGTTGAAGGGTTAACGACCTAAAGGAGGAGCTAACTCCGACAATACTAGGCGAACCTGAGGAAAGGGTTTTGAAAAATAAAAGAGCAAGAATCAGCAAAGCAAAGGTAAATCTTAGTTTGCCCGATGACTGCCCTTTCGTTAAAATTATTTGATGTTATTGTCAAGTTAAAATGTAACAAAGAAACGGGTTAGCCCGATAAAAGACCCCGAGTTGGTTGTATGTGGGGCTAACAGCACCAGGAGTTGCGTCCCCTTCCACAATGGGCCGTTGAAAGAACACTTACTTAGAGTAGGTGGCGCTGCCTATTTACATGTGAATGATATGGGCAGGTATTAGCTAATAGTCAGTGTTGATCTGGGACTGGGAGAGTTATATAACACTAGTTTTCTTCTCAGTCGAGAGAAGGCGCTTTTGACGTGCGGAAACCAGATAAGATGAACAAATAAAATTAATGTTTCATTCTTTTAAGATTGTATTATATGGGGTTTTTTTACATATTTTTTTAGAATATACTTTTTGTCACACGTACAACAATATTGACGGGCGGAGGATCTGCACTTCCACCAAAAAGTGATTAAGTTTCCTCATATAGTCCAATAAATTTTGATGATAACGTTTTTAAAAAAAATTCTCTTTTTCCTTTTTAAGTTTTAAAAAATTATCTATTTTAATGACTATAATAAAAACAGGTAAAATAATCAACTGAAAAATTAACTATTTGGAAATTTGGTCAATCGTCTTTTAATTTTTTTCAATTGGCGAAAATTTCCCTTATGTCTGTGAAATTTTTGAGATACCATTTTTTTTTGCAAATGAAGTGAACAGAGCAAGAATGATTGCAAAAAGAAAATTCAGAAGATATTAGTTAGGATAAAATAAAATTAAAAAGAAGAAATGCAAAGAAAGAAAAGACAACGTTTCATTCTTTAAAATGTATTGTCGAAAATTCTTTTTGAGCTCATTTTTTCGATTTCAAAAAAAGAATCGATTTTGATTAATTTTTGCTCTGTTTTTGAAATCACACAATTGTTTCATCTGCAACTAAAAAATTAACTATAAGATATGGCTACTTTTGTAATTTCCTTATGATAGATATTTTCAAATTTTTTACAGATAGATAGATAGATAGAAAATTCAGATAGATAGATAAATAAATAGATAAATGATAAAGAACAAACGGAATTGAGAAAAACATGAATATTTTTAGATAAATATATATGTATATATATATATATATATATATATATATATATATATATATATATATATATAGATAGAGAGATAGATAGAGAGAGAGAGAGAGAGAGAGAGAGAGAATAGAGAACTAAATGAAAATATATAAATATATAATATATATATAATATAAATAAAAAAATATGAATTATTTTAGATATGAAAATATTTAGATAGATAGATAGATAATTATTTTAGATAGATAGATAGATAGATACGTACAGACTGAGATAGATCGATGGATAGAACAAACGGCATGAGAAAACATGACTATATTTAGATAAGAAATAAATATATATATATATATATATATATATATATATATATACAGAGGGGAGAGAGAGATAGACAGAGAGAGAACTAAATGAAAATAGATAACAAACGGAATGAGAAAATGTGAATTATTTTAGATATGAAAAGATTTAGATAGATAGATAGATAGATAGATAGATAGATAGATAGATAGATAGATAGATAGATAGAACGGAATGAGAAAAACATGAATATATTTAGATAAGAAATATATATATATATATATATATATAGATAGATAGATAGATAGATAGATAGATAGATAGATAGATATACGTACAGACTGAGATAGATAGATACGTACAGACTGAGATAGATAGATAGATAGATAGATAGATAGATAGATAGATAGATAGATAGATAGATAGATAGATAGATTTATTGTCTGCACCATCAGCCAATTGTAATATGACGTTTACAAAGGTTAGAAAAAACGTTCTGGACCTATGAAAACGGCTTCAAGATGAGCGCTCCAAAAATGAATTGGTTGATTAATTTTTACGGTTTTTACGGTTTTTAGATAGATAGATAGATAGATAGATAGATAGATAGATAGATAGATAGATAGATAGATGAATACGCGCAGACTGAGATAGATCGATAGATAGAACAAAAAGGAATGAGAAAAATATGAATATATTTAGATAAAATATATATATATATATATATATATATATATATATATATATATAGAGAGAGAGAGAGAGAGATAGATAGATAGATAGATATAGATAGTCTTAGTAGATAGATGAGATAGATAGAT